GGGTGGGCCGTCTCCTGGCCCCGCACACCCAGGACTCGCAGCCGGCTGCGGGGCTTAGCCGCCTGGCCCGGGCCAGCTCAGGGGGCACGTTTCCTGGCCCTGGCTTGCGGGCACTGGGATGGGGGCTATTAGTCGCCCCTCGCGGACATGCCCCTCGCGTCCTCATTGCTGGTATCCGGGGCTTCTGCCCCCAACAAGTGTCCCTCTCTCGGGGCTGCGGAGACCCGGTGGCGCGGTGCCTCCTGCTGCGACCCCAGAAACCGCAGCCTTTCTCAGCGCGCAGCCGCTCTCCTCGTTCCCCTGCGCCCTGGGCTTCGCTGGCTTGCTGGTCTCCCGAGGGTGACTTGTCTACATAGTTGGAGTGTCCTAGCCTGGGGTTCGCCCTTTACTGGACTCGCATGCTCCCGGGCGCCTGGGTTTGAAAAGCTTTTTATATCTTCCCCCACTGGGCAGTGTTTAATCAGATGACTTTTCGTAGAAAATTGAACCTTTCTCATTCTTTTTAATGAAAGCATAAGGGCGCCGGACCCTTTCCCCCTATGCTAATGTGGAGGCTAAGAAAGTGTTACTACTTTTTCTCCCACCTTTTTAAGTTCTTCTGGCCGGGCTGCTCTTCAAATTAACAGAGAGGTTAACAGGAGAAAAGCCACAATTTTTAATGTGTACGCACGAGGACTTCACGTAAGCAGAAACATTCCAGAGACAGTGAGGCAGCATTGAGTATGTAAGACATTTTGGATACAGGAAAAAAAGAAGGTGGGGAATGGGCGATTTACAGGTGGTTGAAGAGCAGAACGTACTCGGCTGGAAAGACCTTGCTAGGCAACTCAAACAATGCAACCCCCGGGGGTAGATAACAGGCGTCTGCCTGAAGCCCTGCTTACCATACATAATTCAAGTTAGGTTAAGGTGACGTCGTAAGATAATGTCTTCCCGAAGCAGGTTTGTCTGTCCAAATGTCTTGGGCAGGAAAGGGGGGAGGGCCAAATGTTCGTCCCGTGTCTTGTTTCTTAATAAACAGCTTAAAATCAACATCCTCAAAAGGTAGCTTCAGGGGGCCAAAACTTTGGTTCCCTTCACTGATGGTACCACTTTGGAAGAATTCTTTGGGAAAAGGTTTTTGGAAGAACTTGGACTGAGAAGTATTTTATATTTTATCTGCTGGTTGCACCTTTTCTTTCTTCCTTTCTTTTCTTTCTTTTTTTTGCATTGCTTTTGTCAACGTAAGAAACATTCAAACCTGTAGAGAATTTTTGTGAATTTAGTTGAACCATAATGATCACGGTTGCCCGGAAGCAAAATCTCAACGGATTGAAAATTGAACCTTTCTCGTTATTCAGATTGAGAAAATGCTTTGGAAAATGACAGTTTTACTGCCTGTTTATAGATCAGAATCAAAGGGGAAGACTTAAACAGGTTACATGAAATTCATTGGTGATAGATTAGGGAGGTGGGAGAAAAGCAAAATGGGGGGTGGGGGAGAGGTCTCTGGGATTAGATAAAAAAAAGTAAAAGGAATAGACGCTTTGACACAGGTGGATGTAGGATAGTTAACATAACAGCAATGGGGATTTGCAGTCTCTGCTCTGGTGTGGTGGCTGTGCTTTGAAGGGTCCAGAAAAAAGGAAATTTTGATATTCCAAAAGCATATTATTACGCATGTTCTTGTAGTTGCAGTAAAGACAACAGACAGGCTCAGTTAAGGTGAAGATGACCTTTGTTAGGGAAAAATGCTGCCCCAGGACTTGACTACCCACCATGAACTGCTTTTAGTTAGAAAGTTTTAATTTCAGACCATCCTGTGTGGTTATTTTCCGTCTCTGAGTTTGCAAGGCTGCCCCCCCATCCCCCTGCCAGCTTGTCAGGTTTAGTATGTGGTGCATGCCCCCCGCTGTTTTCTTTCGTCCACACTTTCCTCGTGTGTAAATTGGTAATTACTAAGCTCTTGGTGTTCTTCATTCTCACACTGTGAGAAAATCCTCTTCGTCTATCTCACTCTTGTCTTAACCCTGCCAGAGAGTACACTTGGATGAGCAGGGGACCTCTGCCTGGTGGTTGTTGCTTTTCTTCTTTTTACTGCCACCCCTATTAGTTCAGTCAACCCTCGACCCACTTCAAACTTTTAGTCACTTTATAGATTGCCTTTAAGATACCAAGTAGTATTAAGATAAATATAAGAAGAAATTTCAGGATACTGTACCTCAACTATTGCATTTAGCTTTGAGACAGGCCAGTAAGCCAAGGCAAGTGGAATAGGGAAACAGACAGATAGTTAAATAGCCAACCAGTTTACAGCCATCTAGTAAATTGCAAAAGCCTGTGCTCTGTAACCTAGGACGCTTCTCTCCAACCAGAGGGTAAATAGCTTAAATGACCCTACTCAGAGGGAGAGCGAGCAGAAATCCAATTAGTGCCATTTGTGTCAACCACACCTAAGGAATGATGGAATTAAAGGAATAAATCTCATTTTGGCACATCTGCATAAAACTAATAAATATTCTATTGAGATCCTCTCCTAGACCTCCCCTAAACTCCCAGCCTTTAAAAACCTTCAAAATGAAGGTCCCAGGGTATACTCTCTCTCCAGGGAGCACACCCTTGCTAATCCCCTGAACCTGTCTTCAAAGCCCCCTTTTCTCTGATTTCTCCATGAGCCAAAGCAGCCCTGCGTAGGCTCTCCAGTTGCTTCTTATCCTAAGCCCTTGTTTCACTGTCTCCAGCTTTAATAAACATACTCTCAGAATCTCCTGGACTTGTGTTATGAAATCTTTCTGCATGAAGTCAAGAAACAATACACTACTAGCTGGCCCTAGGCAGACCTGCTCTGGCTGGTCCTCTTTCTGGTAACAGCTTCATCATATTAACATGTAAAGCTACTAACTCATTTGTTATTTTATAAAATTACTATTATTGTCTTTTAAGATGTTATATTCTATAATAATTGCATGTTCTGTATCCTGGCAGGAAACCTAATTCACAGTGAGTGTAATTAAGAAAAAACAGTATTTCTTTACTTTAAGAAGAAAGTGAGGTAGGTAAAATTTGACACTGCCACCCTCTTTTCAAAATAAAGTTTATATTTAGAGCAGTTTTAGGATCATAGTAAAATTGAGTTGGAAGGTACAGAGATTTCTCATATATTTTCTGTTCCCATAAGCACTCTGTTCTGCCCCATATATGGTCATTCTCCCCAACTATCAAAATCCCCACAGTGGAATGGTAAATTTGTGGTAACTGATGAATCTACATTGATACATTATCACTCAAAGTACAGAGTTTACATTACAGTTCACTCCTTGGTCTTGTACATTCTTTTTAAAAAAATATGTTTTTCTTGATTTCTGGGGGTGGGGAGAGAGAGAGACATCAATGTGACAGCAGAACATTAATTGGCTGCCTCCTGCACACCCCCTACTGAGGATCGAGCCTACAACCTGGACATGTGCCCTGACCCAGAGTCAAACTGGCATCCTCCTGGTGCATGGGATGGTGCTCAATCAACTGAGCCACGCCACCTGGCAGTGTTGTACAATGGGTTTAGATAAATTACTCCTTTAAAAAAAAAAAATCAAGAACTTTTAAGAGTTGTAGAGAACTGATATGGATATTGTCATTTTTAGAAGATTAAAGAGAATATTGTAAACATCCTAAAAATTAATTTTAAATAGCTTTTCTGTTTTAAAAAATTGGATGTTTAAGCTTTGGTTCTTATATTTGAACTGTCATCAGTTATTTGTTTTTGTATATTAAGAACTCAAGAGACTCAACTTGCTGGCTGTGTGACCATGGTGAGTTATTTTCTGAACCTCTGTTTCTTAGAAATAAAAAGGGGGTCAAATTTTTTTACTATGTGAAATAATTTTATAAATAGTAAGCACTATAGTATTCATTGATATCATTAATAACCTACTGTTTTTTAAAATGCTGCCAGTGTAGTTTATTTTTTGGTAAATGTGGCTTATGTAAATACTGTCAAACCTTTTTTTTAAGGGGTGGTTGTACAAGAGAGTTCATTGTCTGGTCATGCATAATTCTTGTGAGTCAGAGGTAAAACTGGAAGAGGGTCAAGGGACCTTGGGAAAATTTATACTTTGTCTTGCTGGTTCTTCTTTATCTTCTTTTTTTTTGTGTGTGTGTCCATAAATAAAAGTTTATTGGAACACAATTATGCTCATTTATTTACATATTGTTTATGGCCAATTTGCATAAACACTAGAGTTAAGTCGCTGAGACAGAGACATCTACCTTGACAGCCTAAGATATTTATTTGTCTGGCTCTTTTGAGAAAAGGTTTGCTGACCTCTGCTGTTGAACATTATAAAGAAGAAATTTCATACCTTCAGTGAGATGGCAAGATTGCGTCTCCCAGGAATCTTTCCACATAAAAATCTCCAACAGTTAGAAGTTAATAATATATGAAACCTTTTTACTGTTTTCAACAATAGCAGTCACCTACACATACACACCACCCACCCACCCACGCACCTTTCAGTCTTCAAAACCAGACCTGGTTGAACCATAGTTTTTCTAGTCTTGTGGGCTGGGGTCCCATGTTCCCAGTAACCACATCATATGATATTTCTGCCACTCTCTGTATAGTCAGGGCTTTGACACAGGCTGCGCCCATTCTCCAACAGTCAGTATCACATCTTTTCTAAGTTATGGGTGAAAAGATATAATCATTCTATTTATAGAACTATATAAAGAACAGTGGAAGGGAGGGTGGAACTATACTGCACTATTTTCTGTACAAGGTCATTAATGCTTCAAAATAGTTGGAAAGCAAACTTCAACCAATATACTTGATATCTAGAACCCATGGACTGATTAATAAGTTAAAAAATGACCCATTTTACAATGTGATGAATCATAAAAGCACTTAAATATAGTAGTATCACCATATTGAGTGAGAGCACATTGCTGTACAGAATTATGTCATCTCACTGGTTCTTAACCTGACCTGTGGGTGTGCCCATAAATGGTCTTCCAAGAGTATGAACTCTGTGTATATGTGTACAATAGTTTTCTGGGAAGAAGACTTATAGCTTTCAACATGTTCGAAAGGGGTTCATGACCATCCTCCCCCCAGCTTCAGTTATCTAGGCAGGGTTTTTTGTGTGTGTGTGTTTGTTTTATTAGATATTTTGCAGATATTTTTTAACATAGTTTTTAAAAATTTTTAATTTATTTTTAATCCTCATCTAAGGATATTTTTTTCCGTTGGTTTTCAGAGAGAGTGGAAGTAGGGGGGAGAGAGAGAGAGAGAAACATCAATGTGAGAGAGACACATGGACTGGTTACCTCCTGCACGCATTCCAACCAGGGCCGGGGATAGAGACTTGGGCAACCTTGGTATATTCCTTTGACTGGTATCGAACCCGGGACCCTTCAGTCATTGGGCCGACACTCTAACCACTGAGCCAAACCGGCTAGGGTCACTATAGCTTTTTGAGAAAAGAAAGTGAAACAGGTAATTTTTGAAGCACCATCAGTGCCTGTTTTCTACCAGAATTAGAGATTGATACAATATGTTCATATGAATAACAGTGCTGCTTCTTAGACCTGGAGATGACCCCGCTGATTTATCCATTATCATTAGGCAGACACTGTCCACTCCTCCCCTCCCCAGGCTTGATGCGTAATAGAATGCATGGCAAAGAATGACACCCTAATACAGTCCAGCATGTTAGAATATTATTTTGAAATGCTGTAAGATAATTTGGTTTGTTCTAAAAGTTGGATGTTTTTTCTTTTGTCAACAAAACACCAAATGCTAAAGAAATTTAAGTATTTTATCTTCCAGACTAGATGATATTTACATAGTATATGTGTTGTATGTCTTATATAGCACAGAGTGGAAAGTTATACTAAACCCTAATTGATCATTTTGACTTTCAGTATTGCTGGTTAGAAAAGAATTTACAATCTTATGTAAATTAGACTATAATTTGTAATTTGAATTTAGAACATTTAAAATTAATCTTATTTGCATTTGGGGAGTTTCAGAATTAGGTTACAGTTCTAAGGTTGAGTTCTTATAATAAGAGTTGGAAGTAAGCTGTATCACACTGCCCTGTTTTCCTTGTAACTGATAGGTTGCTGGGCTATAAGGCTTTCTAATGTGAAACCAGCTTCTGTTTCTGGGTCAGTTGCCAGTAGCATTCACAAGGTCTGAAGAGTGTGAAGTGGATCAAATGATGTTATAGAAGCTTATGAATGAATCTGACCATCAGAGTAATGTCATTTTGTCTTTTTCCTTGGATCTTTTTTTCTTTTTCCCTTTGGTATTGGTGAGTTTTTTCATTTGAAATCTAAATGCTTCTCAAAGTTCAAGGTTCTAAATCAATACTTGGGGATTTATAGTAACAGAACTGTTTTTCTCTCTCTAGATTTGTTCTTTACAAAAATAGTATGACAGGTCTACATAGATCTCAAAGATTAATTAGAGGTGAATGCCAGCATTTGCAAAGTACTTTATGTATGAAAGATAAGTCAGTGTGCTGCATTTTTAGTGCATAGCATTGTTTATTTCTTTAATAATGAAAGTTTGAGTTAAAATAATTGGATATGGAAAGCAAAGAGGAATCATTTTAGCAAAAAGTTTACCTGTGGGAATACTATCATTTTAAGAAGATCAGTGATTTTGTGTGTATTCTCTTACTCTTGAGCTTTTAAAAATTCAAAAACATTTTTTGTATGGGCAGAATTTTATACCTGTATTTTAGTTCTCATAATTTATACAGAGATATAATTAATGCCATCTTTGTAATAAGAATTTTGACTTTGTAGTCAGGCAAGCCTATGTTGAGTCCTAGGCATTGCCACTTAATAGCTGTGTGACCTTGGGTAGGTTTCTTAACTTCTCTGAGCCTCATCTCTATTCCTATATGAAAATGTAGTAATGATATTGTTTTGGGTTGTCCTGAGGATTGAAACGAATAAATGTGAAGTATCTAACTGAAATAATAGCAGTTTACTTATATATAAGTTTATGTGCCAGACAATTTACTAACTCATTTAATCCTTATAACAATCCTATGAAGTTGGTACTGCTCTTTTCATTTTTATAGATGAAGAAACTGAGGTTAATGAAAGGTTATGTAACTTAACCAAGGTCATATAGCTAGTAAGTTGATAAAGCATTCAGGCATTCAACTAATGCTGACTGGTTTCATTTAAAAAAAATGTTGATTGGAGGATTGTGTTTCTGATCAATGACTCAAGATTTCTTAATTTATAAAAGTATTAATGTCCATTTATTGAATGCTTGCCATGCACTAGATATAGGGTTAAGTACTTTTTATATATTACCTCATTTAACCTTTACAACAGCCTTACAAAAAAGCTGAGACTTTTTTTTTTAATCCTTACCTGGAGGATATTTTTTTCATTGCTTTTCAGAGAGAGTGAAAGGGAGAGAGAGAGAGCAAGAGAGAGAAACATCGATGTGAGAGAGACACATCGATTGGTTGCCTCCCGCACATGCCCCAATCGGGGCCAGAGGTGGAGCCTGCAACCGAGGCATATGTCCTTGGCTGGTATTGAACCCAGGACTCTTCAGACTGCAGGCCGACGCTCTAACCACTGAGCCAAACTGGCTAGAGCTGAGACTCACTTTTTCAAGTGACTTGCCCAAGGGTACTCAGCTAATAGGCAATCCCCAAACTATCTGACTCTCAAGTCTGCTACTACTAGTTTATGTACCTTGTGTTAGATACGGTTAACACGTCTCTAAAGAGCAAGGCAACACCTTAAGTAATTTTAAATAGAAAAAAAAGTACTCCTAGTTTAGACCCTGAAGTAAACAGAGATTACCTAAAACTAAGATCTCATAGGCAAAACCCAGCTTGCTGCTGGTTTTGTAAAATAAAGTTTTATTGGAACACAGCCACACGCATTACTTTAGATATGTCTGTGGCTGCTTTCCTGCTACAGTGTCATAGTTGAGTACAGTTGACGGGTGAGAGGTAGAGGCACAGACTTCTCTGAAGTGGAAAATCTGCGTTTACGGTGTGGATGCATATGCAGGTTCCCATCCATGGAGTTATGGAGTTGACCTTTGAACCATATAGATTTAATCCAGATCAATTGAAAATAAAATCCTCCCTTAAATGGAGTATTTCAAAACCTGTGTTGTTCAAGGGTCAACTGTAGTGACAGAGTCCAGATGGCCCACAAAGCCTAAAGTACTTACTATCTGGCCCTTTACAGAAAAAGATTGCTGACTCCTGTCCTGGACCACCTCTATTCTTTTATAAATGAAGAAACTGAGACTTGGAGAGATTCATTTCCCTATTATGTAATTAGTTAAATTCTAATTCCCCTGTTACCTAACTAAACTGTTGCTTCTGCTATACCATGCTAACTTGTACGTTCTATAAAATCCACAAGTGTACCTACCATATGATCATTATATGAGACTTTAAAGTATAAAATGTTTATGATATATAGTCATGTGCCACTGAATGTCCTGGATACATTCTGAAAAATGCATCCTTAGGCATATTTGTCCTAGTGTGAACATCATAGAATGACTTTAACTGCCCGGCCAATGTGACTCAGTGGTTGAGTGTTGACCCATGAACCAACAGATCACTGGTTCGAGGGCTCAATCCCCAATAGGGGCGTGCAGGAGGCAGCCAGTGGATATTTCTCTCTCACATTGATGTTTCAGAAATCTCTATCCCTCCCCCTTTCTCTCTCTCTAAGATCAATAAAAATATATTTTAAAAAAGAAAGAATATATAACCTAGTTAAAATTGACATGCTATTCGTAATAACAGTAAACACTTAATCATTTCTCTTTCCTTACAATTTGAAGAGCTTTGGGAATATACATTGTATGGCCCATGCCTTAAAGTTTTGTGGTCCACTTTAAACTTATGTCTCCTTATTTTCTTCCACAAATTTCTCTGTAATAAAGAGGCTTTTGGAATCATTTCATTAATTGATTACAAAACAGCAATTGCAGTTGGAAAACTATCACATATACATATTTCCAAAATATGTATATGTGATAGGTGTGCAGTGGTATTTCATTCTGATTTTAATTTTCATTTCCCTAATGGTGATTTTGTTGCACATCTTTTGTGTGCTGTTTGCTATTTGTATATCTCCACTGTTGAAATGTCTTAAGTCTTTCACCCATAATTAATTTAGTAGTTGTTTTCTTACTGCTGAGTTTTGAAAGTTCTTTATACAGGGATGGGCAGTAGTAGGTTTACAGCTCATATGGAAAGTAATACAATAATAAATAGTAATAGAAGAATAAACTCTGTTTTGAGTACTCACAAGTATAAACCTACTTTTGCCCACCCCTGTATATTTGGGATACAAGTCTTTTGTCAGATGTTTTACTTGCAAACATTTTCTCCTAGTCTGTAGCTTATCTTTTTATTCTTTTACGGTATCTTTTTCTTAGCAAAGCTTTAAATTTTGATAAAGTCCATTTTATCAATTTTTTAATTTTAATGTAGCTAAGAATTCTTTTCTAAGAACTAGTGGCCTAACCTCAGTCATGAAGTTTTTCTCCTATGTTTTCTTCTAAAAGTTTTACACACACACACACACGTGAGTGTGTGTGTGTGTGTGTGTGTGTGTGTGTGTATATATATATATATGCAGTCTCTGATCCATTGTATATGGATGTCCAATTGCTTCACCATCATTTTTTAAAAGACTATCTTTTCTCCATTGAACTGCTTTTGTACCTTGTCAAAAATCAATTGACCATATTTGTGTGGGTCTATTTTTTAACTGTCTATTCTGTTCTGTTGCTATATATGTCTATCCCAGTGATTTTAGCTGGTGTGCCACAACAATTTTTAAAACATGCAATACCTAACTATTAAGTCAGGGGCACTGACCTCTTTTCCCTTAGATTGTCAAATAAAAAAATGACAGAAGCCAATACAATAATAGCTCGCTGTTTGGTGTGAATGAATCAAAATCATACCTATTTTTTTGCTAGATCAGCAAAATATATTTTTTGGTGTGCTGCAGAATTTTATTAATTAGTTTATGTATGCCATGAGATGAAAAAGTTTGAAAATCACTGGTCTATCAATTTACCATGATCTCATTGTCTTCCCCCCCTTTTTTTTAATCCTCACCCAAGGATATTTTTTTCCATTGATTTGTAGAAAGAGTGGAAGGGAGGGAGGGAGGGAGGTGGAGAGAGATAGACAACAGTGACAGAGAGAAAGAGAAACATCAATGAGAGAGGACCGTTGATCAACTGCCTCCTGCACATCCACCCTGCTGGGGATCAAGCCGCAACCCAGGAATCAAACCTGAGGCGTCTTGGTGCACGGGACGATGCCCAACCAACTGAGCCACACTGGCCAAGGCTGTCATTGTTTTTTGCTTTTTTTTAATTGTAAGCTGTCTCTGCTGAAGATAACCCTGAGGTGTAAGCTTAAGGTTGCTCAGGTCTTTTCTGAGCCTTTCCCTGGGCATGCACTGTGACTTCCTAATATTCCTTGTATATACAATTATTTTTTAATGTCTTAATCTTCCATGTCTTGCTCCCTAAAGGAGAAAAGACATAAAATGTAGGGGGGGTAAAGGACACCATCCTTTCAAATCCTCTGGAAGTTACTTCAGCTGAGAGGGAGAGACTTGCACTAGTGGGAGGAGGTATGACAAAAATGGCTGCCCACTCTGTCTACATCTCTGTGAGCAGAAACAGCAGTCAGCAAGCAGAGCAGAGATCCCTGATATTTGGAGGACAGGGTCCTTTTTGCCTGCCGTGGCTCTTGCAAATTGTGTGCAAGCTGCTCCAGGAACACATGCACAGCTGCTTGTGACATGCACAGCAGCTGGGGTTGTGGGGTGGACAGCTGCTACCGTACTAAGAGCTGAAATTGTCAAAAATTAACCATAATTTACCATCCAAGTCTTCTGGAAGTTGTAAGCCTTCAACACTCGAGTTCCAAAATAGTGACGCCAGACAGATTCTGCCACTGCAGTGGTTGTCTAGGTGGGAAGACAAATTCCTGGTGCTATTTCACCTTCTTCCCAGAATTTTCAAATTAGACTTTAAAGGAGTTTCTTCACTGCCCGGCTGGGTGTGGCTAAGCAGTTAAGCATCAAGATCCAGGAGATTGCAGTTCAATTCCCCGGCAGGGCACACGCCCGAGTTGCAGGCTCAATCCCCAGTGGGGGGCGTGCAGGAGACAGCTGATCAGTGACTCTCTCATCGATGTTTCTGTCGCTCTCCCTCTCCCTTCCTTTCTCTGAAGTTAATAAAGATACATATATTTTTTAAAAAGTTTCTTCACTGATGTAAAATACAGTTGACACTTCAAAACATGGGTTTGGTCTACGTTGGTCCACTTATATATGGATTTTTTTATAGTCAGCCCTTTGTACCCAAGGCTTTCACATCTGTGGATTCAAACCAGCCACGGATCAAAAACAGTATTTACTGATTCTCAACCATGAATTCCCAGCCGTGCATTTCCAACTGTGAATCGAAAATACTGTTTATCTGATGGATTGACTCCATGAACACAGAGGCCCAACTGTAGAATTATATGTGGATTTTCAACTCCACATGGGGTTGGTGTACCTTACCCTCTGCATTGCTCAAGGGTCACCTGTATTTTGCTGAGGTAATTTGTGTGACATTTAGCAAAAGATCACCAAAGTTACTTGTTCTTTTTTGATTTATATAGTCTTTTTACATATATAATATTAGTAAACTATAGCTATTGCTGATTTTTTTCTTTTGGTTTGTTTCCACATGATTTTGTTGTTCATTTTTCAGTTTCAGCAAATTGGACAATGGCAGCTGAGTGGGTTTTGAAAATATCTTAAGTTTAGTGGGCTGCATGTACCTTCTGCTTTCGCTCTACAGTTTACAAAAGAATAAATGGGATGTTTGAGAAGACAGCTGTATTAAAAGAAGAGTGTTGCAAATGGCTTCAGACTCTATGAGTGCAAAACAAGCTAGGAATCACTTCACAAAGGGGAAAAGGCAACAGCACCAGCAGATAAAGAACAGATCTTTAGTCGGCGATGGCGATGGCGATGGAGACGACTCCTTTATCTTTGAAGCACAGGAAGCTTGGAAAGATTTTCATGGGTCTCTTCTTCGGTTTTATGAAAGTGGAGAACTCTGTGATGTCACACTAAAGGTGAGACTATTTTTTTCTTTTCTTGTTTTTTCAGAGTATTATGAAAAATGGGGGTTTCTATAACCACATCAGCAAATTTTTGGTGCTGTACTTAGAATGATTTTAGTTTCACTTCTTTTTATTGAAGGGGAAAGGACATAAGGGAGGGTAAATAAAGGGTACTAATTAAATGTTGATAGTCATTATTTCTTAGTGTAACTTCTGAGAGTTCTTGAATTCTGAAACAACGAATAGTTACTATTAGTAAAATCAACAACTTGCTGTTGACCAGGTAAACTTTTAATTTGTGAATTTAAGAACTGGATGTATTCACTTACTCTTGATTTTGGTTGGAAGTCAAGAATTCTTGGTTGTTTACTCAATGGCACTAGTGTTTTACTTTATCCTGGTAATTTAATCTCTGCTTCAATACTATCCTCTGTTAAGTTTATCTATACCTGATAGTGAAGTAGAGTCTATTTAGACTTGGATGAAAAAGTCTTAAGTAAACTTTGAGTCTATGGTTTATAGGATCATGTTGGTAATTGGAAAAGTGATCAAGTAGTGTGGAAGAGCCTGTTTTCTAATTGTTTTTCATTATTTGTTTAAGGTACTTTCTTATTGTTATCTCTCAGTGTAGTATTAAAAGTTTTAAGTGAGTATGTATATCTATGCAGCATTTTCCACGTAAGATTTTCCACTTTGGGATCTCTTAGATTTTGTTTTCTGTTCCTGATCAGATAGGTTCATTGGGTTTATAGTTGTAGGGATTGAGGGCCTACTTGGAAAATCATATGAGAGGTACACCCAGCAAAAGTCTATAACTGAAAGAATAATCTTTGAGTTTCAGGCCCAGAATGTCCAAGAGTATAGTGTTACACTGTGAATAAATGATCTATATTCTCTTTACTTAAACTTTTAGTGTCCTTACATGTTTCTAGGCCCTAAGATTTTGAGAAGAAAATCATTATATAATTCTGCTCTGTGTGAAAATTAGTGATTGCGCATATATATATATATATATATATATATATATAT